GGTTTTTTTTTTTTTTTTTTTTTTTTTTTTTTAGTCAAGGAAAGTTAAGTTTGGAGCAAGACTGCCATTTGCTAAATCTTAGGTGCCTGCTACAAGCTCTCTAATGAACAATTTATGGATCAAGGTGAGGCAACCCTCTGCAGACAGTGTCAGGTTCTCTACTAAACCTCAGCTTTCTGCTTCCTGATCTCCACTGGGTAACCACTGCACAGAATGTCGGTTTGAGTTTTTAGTTCTTTGGCTAATATTCTGCATATCATCCTTAAACTTTTATCAGAAAGTTGGTTTTTTCTTTTAAATCTGTAAAGTTTTAAATTATTTTCTGGGGTGATGTTCTAAGCTCATTCAAAAGTTAAAATGTAGCAACAAACATCTCTTCTTTTACTAAACAACTCAATGGAGAACAGGATTCCCAATTATTTTCCTGCACCTCCTAGCCAGGGGCCATCTCTGTTGAGAGATGATGCAAAGAGCATGTGAAGCAAAATTACAATTATATGCACATATGTTTATGGGCCTCTTAAGAGTGCAGGTCACCATTTGAACTTGGCAGAAACAAGGTGTCATACCCTGGCATCACCACCCAAATGCTGCCTGGACCCAAATGCTGCCTGGTGGTTCTCTTTTTTTTTCTCCTTCTGGTCTGCCTTCTCCAGAAAAAGTAAAAAATATATTCACATCACTGAGCATATACTGACCTTTTCTTCCCAGAGGACTCTGCCCAGTTTGGCTTTGGATAGAAAACCCTCCAAGAGTAGCCAGGGGCCTGAGCTAAAACTTTTATATCACTCAAGTTATGTAGCAGGCCCTGTTATACCATTTTTAAAATGTGTGGTGTGGATTTTATTTACTTTTTAAATTTCTTTATATATGTTTTTTATTGGTTTCATAGAGAGGAAGGGAGAAGGAGAGATAGAAACATCAATGATGACAGTCACTGATCAGCTGCCTCCTGCACGCCCCCTACCAGGGATCAAGCCAGCAATCCGGGCACGTGCCCTGACCAGG